AAATTGGTGTCCACGATGAGACGAAGTTGAGGTGGAAGAGGTTTGCACCGACCCTATGTTACATGTGATATCTCCAACAAACTTCGAGGAGCTGCTTGGCAGGAACCTGTTTGCAGTGTCTCTTTGTCAGACCAAGGCCACATCGACATCGATCCCTCTTGGTGGACGTCGTGGTGGCCAATGAGACGAGAGAAGAAGAGAAGAAGAAAAACAGGAATACTTATTTTTTCTCTTCCATCCCTTTCTCTAGTCTCTTCCTTCTCCGTATCTTTCTTGACAATTTTCCAAAGATGAATGTAGAGGATAATATAGATCCCTCTGCAATTTCATGTGAGACTAAGAATCAATCCTTTTTCTATTATATGGTTAGTTTTTTACATTTTCAGTTTCCACTTCTTCATCGATGAAAACGGAGAAGTTATTTTCCCTTTTCAAAATTCTAAGGCCAAGTCCAATGCAAAACTCCAAATTTGGGGGCCTTCATACCCAAATTTGGGGTTTGATCCTCATTTTCTCTTCTTTTGTTCCAATGCTTCAATCTCCATATTTGGGGATCTTAATGTTTCCAGTTTTTTCATTTATTTAAAAATGTACTTATCGAAGGCTTAATATAATTTTTTCTTGATAATTTTTGTATAGTTCGTCATCTTTTTTAAATACAAATTTTTCGATAGAATTTTGTTAAATTTCGAGACCGAATTTATTTTGGCGAAAAATTATGGACCAAATTTGGGTTTACACACAACACTTGAAAATGATAAAGCTAAAGGAGTTGACATTCATACATGGTGGTAATGCTTGGTATTATATAAGTTTGTACCACGTGGTATGGAAGTGTACCATGGTGGTATGAACATACCGGAGTATAGAATGGTAGAATAAATGATAATAGGAATAAATAAACTTCCATTTACCACGTTCATCATTGTGTACCACTAGTTACCACCCATATACCAAGGTGGTATGGAGTGGTACATTTTGGTCCTATTTTTTCCAGAATTTTGTAGATCTAATATTTCAAGATCAACTCGTTCCATCTATGAAAAAAAATTCAAAATTCGAGTAAAAATGTATGTGGTACCATGCTGGTAGCGAGTTGTATGAAATTGTTTCTCTAAATAACCAACTCCTTCCATATGTGCAAAGAATTTCAAAATCGAAGTTAGAACGAAAAAATAAGAGTCGATTAAGAAAACAAGAAAATATAAAAAGTCAGTAATTCTCACCATTTAGATGGGTTGGGCTAGTGTGCTAACACTTTTTTGTTAGCACGTGTGCAATCAAATGGGGAAGGGATAATCCTCCCAACAAATCACAAAACCCTCTCCACAAATAATCATCTCACAAACCACCAAATCCACCCCCAAACCACAAAATCCAGGCCACAAGTTTCTTAAAGTGGCCTAGAAGTTTCTTTAATAGTGGACCTATTGGTCAAATTTTAAAAGTTCTCATACTAAAATGTAAGAGAGAGAAAAATATAGGTACTAAATTTTAATTTTCCATCAATATTTTTAGATTATATGTAAAAAATAATTTTAGCACTAAATATTATGATGTGTTAAGTTTGAGTACCAAAATTGTAATTTTTATATATAACTTTATGACCTCAACGTAGAGGAAGGGGGAAAGGAAAAGAAGGAATGAGAGTAATTATTATAGTACCCTTACTGAAAATGATAGTTTGGTGCTAACACCCTTCTCCTCTCCCATTCCTCCATATCTATACCCTTATGTGCCCACTCAAAAATAATAACTCAAATTTGGTTATGGATGGATGCATAACCCCTGCTAATGAAACATTGCCATCGGTAACATAATAAGAAAAATAGAATTTCTTTTTCATTTGTATTAATGTTAAATTGATAGAAAAGTAACGGCAGGGTTAGATTAGGAAAAAATGAAAACTTAAGAAACCTCGATAGGAAAATAATTTGCTGAGGGACTTGAATGAAAAAAGTGATACTTCATGGGCTACATTGTGCATTAAATTTTTATTTCTTCCAGTATTCGTTTAGTTTCCTTTCTGTCGACAGAGCATTCAAATTAAATTATTATTATCAATTAATTATGCGAATAAGAAGGAGAGCCAATTATTTCTTATTATTTCATACACATGGCAACATGTTATTGGTTGGGTGTACAGGGATAGCATTCCTACCCGATACAATGGTGGTCAATGATTAGACGGTTATCTACTTGACAAATTGAATAAATACCGGCCACACATTCATTCACTTCAAATGACACCTACAAACATTTATCTTTTTACTCCCACATAGTACACAAATCTCGTACATTCCTAAACCTCGTTGTTGCTAAATCAAAGTGTCTTGCAAATCTTTAATCTCAAACGAGTCCTTTATGGAAGGTTTGTAGGTATATGTGTAGCATGTAGGGGCGTTTTAGTAAACTTATGACCTCGTTTAGTGAATTTGTGGTCTAGACTTGTAGTCTACTTTTAAAAACTTAGGGTATGCTTTTATTAACTTATAATGTGGTGAAGATTTTGTGGTCTGGATTTGTGTTTCCCTACCCCTTCTCCATTTAATTGCACAGTACACACGTCAATCCCCCTTCCACCAATTGTTCATAATACCAAGTGTGCCCTCCTTCCCTTCTCCTTAATTAGTTGTGGTCAACTCATTTAAATGAAAAGTAATCCAAACAAAATGTTCCTATTAGCTAGAGCAAGTGTAAGCACTATACTAACAAAAAAGGTGTTAGCATTCTAGCCCCTCCAGAGAGAAAACAAGTAGTGCTTTCATTATTCAATTTACTAAAGATAATGATAAGAGGAATAAAAATCTTTAGAAAAGGTACTAACGCAATAGGATAGTTGATGTACCCTATAATTCCTCTTTAGAAAATCCCCCAAAGCCCAAATCATTCTTGACTAAAACTAATAAAGTCATATCAAAGAAAACGATGTTGGGCTGCTATATGTAGCTAATTAAACATAATCACAGCTTTGAGCCCCACACCACCACCCAGACTCATCCACATGCTCAAATCAAATTAAAGTTATTTTGGACTGCCAACAGGTTTGGAGGAAGGAGTAGGTTGTGAATAAGTATCCTCCATGATCTCTAGACAGATGAAGAAGACCTCCTCACCCCCACCTCTCCATGAGTAGGTGAATAAGAATCCTCTATCATCTCCTTGGCAGAAGATGCAAATTGCTGCATCATACATGGATTCACAACAGAAGGACTGGATTTTTGGTCCAAGCTTTGGTCTAGGCCAGTCCTAGCACCCTCCACATCACCTGTAGTAGCTTTCGGCGGTGAAACCTTTGTAGGCAAAGTAGCACCTAGCTGGAATAACCCCTGAGGAAGAGGAGAATTAGATGGTCAGTTATAGAATCGAAGAAAACTCTCATTTGCTTATTGTAGAGCTCATTTGTGGCGGTTCTATACTCGTCCAGATACTTGGCCGCAAAGATCAACAATATCAAAATGCCAGAGATAAGCAACGCCTAGAGGACATTCAGAATCTTATCCTCATCGCACTTATACTCGTTGTGCCCGTCTGGTTGACCTTCCACATTTGTATATAGTGGAGAGGGCTTGATGGTACCGAGGAAGTTTCCCATGATTACAAGGTAGATTAGCGCGCGGCAAAAATTAGAAGGGATTAATTCCTGGCAGAGAATCTCAATGGAGTCTTTTACCAAGCAAGAATGGTAGTTGTGATGTGCCTAAAAGAGCCAAATTAACCCCCATCATTCCACCAATCAGCCGAATTGCAGATGGCATTAAAAATAAAGCAATATTTTAGGAATCGTACCATGTCGGTTGTCGTCCAATTGGATAAGAAAATATCATGTGTTGAACTCTAAATCAATAGGCGATTTTAATGGTATGAAACCATTGTTGTTAAAATTGTATCGAGCTGGTCGGTTCGACTGTAAAACTGGAGACTGGAAAGCGAACACCAACTCGGTCTAGATGTTCTATTTAGCTGCCAAATCAGAACCGCCCGGTCGGATGTTGGTTCACACGGCTAGTCGCTCGATCCGGAGGAATCGGACGACCAGTTTGAATAGACGAACCACGATATTAAGAAAACTCAGAAGAAGTTGCATCCAGATATGGTATTCTGGAACGAGAAATCAAAGAAGAATCGTTCGAATTCACTCTCTCCCCCTTTGTCCAAACTCAAATCCACTCTACCTGCGTACTCCACTAAATCTGCAATAGAGAGGGAAAGATGTTTTCTTTTTCTGTAGAAAGGGAAGAAGAGCGATAAGGAAAGGGGGAGATGGGACCCCTAAATAGGTTGGAAAAAATGACACCCCCTATTAATTATAGGCTTTTAAGGTAATTAATTTGTGTTGCATTTAATAAATCCATATGAATTAAAAAAATTATTAATTACTTTCCTCTTTTCAGTGCAATGGTACTTCTACCAGTGCAATGGTATCAATGTACAAGTGCAATGGTAGTTCAAAAAAAGGAATGTAATTAATATGAATTGTTAATTTCCAAAGATTATTTAATGCAACACGAATTTAATACCATAATTAATAGGAGGTGTCATTTTCCCAACCCCATAAAGGGGTTAGCAAGCTAAACGATCCCAGGGGAGATGGAAGGTTGGGCTAAGAATAAGATAATTTACTTTATAGTACTTATAATTAGAAAACAAGTCAATCATTAAATTTTTCATTCATTCATTACATTATATTAATATGTGTATATTTTTTAAATCTATATTAAAAAACAAGTCAATCATTAAATTTTTCATTCATTACATTATATGTATATATTTGTTTTTTAAATGTATATTATGTAGTACTCATAATATTATTGTTAATTAGGTACCGGTTGTTTAATGTTTTTTATTATCTCTTCAACACCAATTATACCACTAAAATGTTAGTCATTCATGATACCGATTAATGCCTCAGTTTGATTCTAACAACATTTTAAAGAACAATTGAACCACGACTTTTGTACAAAATATCCTCTTTTTTGTTCAAAAGTAAAAGAAAGTATCCCACCACTCACTTTTCAATATAATTTTCACAATTCTTAAATAAAGACACTATTAGAAATTGAAACTCCACGGTCTTTCTTCAGGCAAAAATAAAAAGAAAAAGAAATCACAAATCTATGGATATGGTAGAGCAATACCAAATGTTTGATGACTAAATAGAAAAAAGCAGCAAGTAGAACAGAACGCAAGGAATGAACACTAACACCCAGATTCACCAACAGAATGCCTTTGCCCCAAACTCATCTCCACTCTCCATCTACCGAGCATCTGCGGATGTGAAAGAATCTGCGAACCCGGAAGGTCGAGTAGTAACGCTAGTCTGCGTATTGTCCAGGCTGCCACAGCTGCCATACCTTAAAGTGGAGATGCTGGGCTGGTCGCCTTCCTGCCACTTCTTCAGCGCCTGAGGCAATGTCATGTCACAATCAATCGTCTCATATTCATCTTCTTGGCCTGAACGGTTGTCCCCCGGTTTCCATAGCTCCGCAAGGGAGCTAAGGGTGTTAACTACATGGCTCATATCAGGTCTCTGGTATGGCTCCCTTGCAGTGCAATGACCCGCTAAGTCAGCAACCGTATTGATGCTGCCAAGTGTATCATCGTTGAGCTCAATCGACGCGTCAATCACCTGAGGGAACGCCTTCTTGTCGATGTGCATCCTTCGGAACCACGTTGCTAGATGTGACCTCTCCTCTGGCTCGGTTCCATCAAGGGCTCTCCTTCCGGTGATCAGTTCCATAAGTATCACCCCAAAGCTGAAGACATCAACCTTGATCGTCACACGTCCGGTCACTGTCCCACAAACAACAAATTAGTTCTAAGTACTCCTGCAGTTTACTCATAAATGTATCCAATTAATAACCATAGATCAGAGGTGCAACACAAACAAATTTTATACAACATTTTAAAAACTTAAAATGCGAACCAGCGAGAATTCATATATTTTCTTGTAATTGTAATCTAATCTAAATTCAAAGTAGTTTTTTAAACATAACAAATGATAAAAACACGACTATAAGGAAAATTACATAGCATAAAACTATAAGTTGAGGGTAGACTAGATGATGATTGTACCTGCATATTCTGGAGCCATGTACCCAAAAGTTCCAGCAAGTCTGGTTGAGAACGAGTTTTTTCCATCAGGGGCAAGACGGACCAACCCAAAATCAGCTACTTTGGCGCGCAAGTCATCTCCTAGAAGAATGTTTGAAGGCTTGAGATCCCTATGAATAAAGCTTTGGTGGGCTAGACCATGCAGATACTCAACAGCTCTAGCAACATCCAATGCAATTGTAAGTCTTCTTGTCCATTCCAATGGCTGCAATCCTTCTTCCTTCCAGTTAAAAAGAAACCTACTGAGCGTCCCCTGAGGCATGTATTCATAGACAAGAATCTTCTCATTGCCTTCCAAACAATATCCGAGAAGCGAAACCAGATGGCGATGCCGAACCTTAGTAAGCACTGCAATCTCAGAGGTGAACTCCGTCAGGCCCTTATCACTCCCTAATGCTGCAGATTCCATCCGTTTCACCGCAATTTTTGTTCCATCGGGCAATTCGCCCTTGTAAACCGTCCCAAACCCACCACTTCCAAGTATGTTGTCTTGACTGAAGTTATTAGTCACCTCTCTCAACACTTGAATGGATATCACCAAGCTCCCTGCTTCAACAACATGGATTTCTGAAGAACCATTGCTGGTAACCGTGTTGCTCTCAGATAAAGCATTAGACCTCGACCCAGCAACAGTTATCTTCACAGCATCATGGTCTCCCGAATGACGAGGATGAATCACCACTGTATTGGGACTCTGTACCTTGCTATATCTCTTCCTTTTCATACAGTAGAGAAAGAAACCCAACCCTCCTAGACCCAACAAACTAACAACTCCAACGACAGAACCTACAATCTTCCCAGTACTGGAATTCTTACCACCACTTCCATCATCCGAGGAACCATCACCTCCTCTACCACCTGGAGTCTTGCCAGGAGGTGTACCAACGTCCTTACCGATATCAGGGTTCCCATCATATCTGACGCTTACACCACCATTAAAGCTAGGAACTTTCCCATGGAGATTGTTATGCGTAACATCCAACACCTTAAGATTGGGCAACTTAGCTAGATCGGCCGGGATTGTACCAGAGATATCATTATTCGACAAAATCAAGTTCTCCAATGAAGTAATGGAGGCAAAATCAGGAGAGATTGAACCTGTGAGCCCCTTGTTATCGAAGTTGATGGTTGTGATGTTCCCTCCAGATGGAGAACACTGAATTCCCAACCAAGTGTTGCAAGGATCATTCCCCTTCCAGCTATCAGCCAAAACAGTGGGGTACCCAAACGCTTCTACAGCGGACAACAGGTTATTAATCCGAGCATCACAAGCATCACCAGGTTTAGGCAAACAAAACCGATTCGTTTCAGGTTCCATATCCAGCCCAATTGAGCTGGGGAATTCCGGGGTGGGCCCTTGAAGGAGATTATTTGTCAGGGTCAAGTTTCTTAGGGAAAGCTTGGGTAGAGACAATGGAACAATACCAGTCATCCGATTATCTCTCAAGTTCAAATCCTGCAACAGCGACGTATCATCTGGGAATTCCGGTATGGGACCCGTAAAGCCATTGCTCTGCAGCCAAACCTGGGTCAAAGACGATATGTTCTGCAAGACGGTAATGGTGCCGTTGAGCTTAGAATCGCTCAATTGGCTGTTGAGCCAGAGAGTGACGAGATTCGAACCGGAAGAAGCCTCAGGCAGCGGCCCTTGTAAATAATTGTATGCCAAATGCAAATGGTTGAGCCCGGGGAAGGAATCGCCACTGAAGAGGAAATCAGGGACCGCACCTTCGAGGCTGGCGTTGTTGGCCGAGAAATTCTTGAGGCCGGCGGAATCCTTGAGGGTGGGCGGGATCGACCATCTGGAGAGCGGGTTGTTGTCGAGGTACACGGCGGATAAACTGGTGAGGCCGGAGAAGAAAGCCGGAGGGATGGATTCGAAACCGTTGTGCATGAGATTGAGATACTGGATGGAGTTCAGCCCGGAGAGATCGGGCACCGCACCCGTTAACTGGTTGTAGTCCACCTCCAATGAGGTCAGCGCAGTTAAAGTCGAGAGCTCCGGCGGAAGGAACCCTTGTACGCCTTTGCCGCTGATTTTGATGCGAGTCACCCGATTGCCGGAAGGCTGGCAGACGACTCCGCTCCAGGAACAGGGGTTTTGGCCGGACCACCCGAGGCTGCTGCCCGCCTTGAGACTGTCCCTGAGCTTCAGCATGGCGTCGGCATCGGGGCTCTGGGAGCTGGCCAATCGGAGCAGAAAGAAGAGAACGGGAACGAAAAGAGTGGAGGAAGTACGGATCCCCGGACGGCGGGGCTTTCTCATCTCTGGCTTCTTCTTTTTTTCCGCCTTGGAGGGTAGGGGAGAACAGTCAGAGGAGTGGGTGAGTTTTGTTTGGGTTTCTGAGAGAGGAGGGGTGGGCGCTGTTAGGGTTTAACGGCGGGAGAGATCAATGGAGGATTTTTTGCAGAGGGAATCGGCGGAGATTGTGGAGGAGAAAGAAAGGAGAAAAGGAAAGGGAAGGGAATTTGGTATGGGAGGGGCAGAAATTCCATCTTTAAAAGGAATGTAACGAATAAGGAGAGATTAGAAAAAGGAAGCGTTTGGATTATGATGATCAGTGAGAGAGAGAGAGAGAGAGAGAGAGGAGATACGGAAATGAAACAGAGAAGCGTTTCTGGTGGGCTTTCTATGAATTGAATTGACCATCTATTATTTCCTTTCCTTTCCTTGTACTTGAGTGACTATTGGCTGGGTCTGGGTGGGTAGAGTCGTCCTCGTAGTAGTTGCGTTTGGGGTTTGGGCATTTATTTTGAAGGATCACGCTGAAAACAGTTCCCCATATTAATCATCATTATTGACATTTCAAGTCTCAACAAATTTCCTATTTATTTTTTTTACCCACTCTATCCTACTTTTTATTCTCAATCTAAATTATACATTCATCATCAATAGAATAAAAATGGCAAAATTCATTCGTATAGCCAAAACTTTCACGTTTGTGACAATAATAGCCATTTTTGGAGAAATACCAATAATAGCCAGAAATTTGAAAGTTTGATGACAATAATAGCCATTTCCGTTACATAATTTAACGACGTTAGTTACACCGTTAGTCAAATTAGTGGGAAGATGATCTGGCTGCCAACTCACCCTTTCTTTCATTTCCACCTCAGCATTCATTGACAGGTGGACGACACCTCATTTCCACAAGTAAAAAAAAAAAATTAACCTTACCTAAATCGGGGAAATCAGCTTGGTATCTCCATCCAAGAACTGCCCGCTTCCCCTCACCGTCGTCCATTCTCGTTGACCCCGCCGCTGCCGATCTCAATTTTCCGGATGCAAGGCCATCAACAAGTTATCCGAAGAAGATGATTGGATTTGGAAACAACAAAGAGAGGAGACAATGGTTGAATCCTCTACTTCTTTCACCTCTTTTTATTTCCTCCCTACCGTCCACTTCCACCACCGATCTTCCTCTATAGCCAGTTGGGATAGCAAAGAGGAAAACCCAAGTTGCTAAAAGGAAACCTTTCTCTCGTACAGACTCGACCACCACCACCACTCTTTTCTAATCTACCCGAAACAAAACTAGAAGAATAAATCCAATCTAAGAAACCCCACAGAAAACCCACAGGTAGTCGAACAAATCTCATCTTGAACAAATCCCCACAGAAATCCCACAGGGAGTTGAACAAATCAAAAACCCACAAGGAGTCGAACAAATCGAACAGTTTTCCCAAACTCGACCTACTACCGCCTTGTGCGATTCGGGAAGGGTAGGAGACGAAGCGCCATAGAAGTGTGGTCGGAGATGGGAATCGGTTCATTGTAGATTTGGTCTTCGATTTTAATGGGTGCTTCACATCCGACCCGCGATTCTCCTTCGAGTCGTCCAAAGCTCAATTCGCTTCCGATGTTAGGCCGGAGCTGGCGGAGCCATCACAGGCCACTTACGCGGGGGCAGCGGATTGTTCATAAGTTTCGCCACCAATCGAGAGCTGGAAGTCATTGGAGAAGTCACGATCGCCGTCCTTGAGAATTGAGCACCGTCCTTGATGGCGGCGGGGGCGAAGATTGAGAATTGAGCACGGTTCCTCGACAGCGGTGGTGAGAACGAGGCGAAGGGAGTAATCCGAGAAGATGAGCGGCGGTTGGGGAAAGGGAAGGAGAAAGAACCGAGGGGAGGGAGAGAAAATAATAAATAATGGATTATTTTATTATGATTTTTTTAATTAATTCCAGCTCATATTTTTATTGAATAAAAGTTTGACATGTCAGCTTTTCTGTTAGTCTAGTCAGCACGTTAACTCACACCGTCAAAGAATTGGACGGAAGTGGCTATTTTTTGTATTTTGTCAAAAGTGGCTATGTTTGGCCAAACCGTCAAAGTTTTGGCTATACAAGTGTATTTTGCCAATAAAAAACTACGATATAGAAAAAAAATTTAGAAATATAGTTCTTTAGCTTTTAACCATGAATCCTTAGCTAGGTAACAATTTAAGCGATTGAAGTAGGAGATTAGGAGTAGATGGACCGCTTCAGGTTGACAATTAAAACACTTACCTACTTTATAGAGTTTGTATTTGGGTTTTAGTCGGAATTTAACTGTGTAGTTAGGAGCTAGTAAAAAAGCAATACAATTTTCTACTTTATAAATTTTTTGCATTTATTTTTATTTTTCAATTATTTTATATTAATAAGAAAAATTAAAGTTATTTTTATCAGCCGACAGACCTACCCAACAAATATGAGTTTGCTACTGTGACAATCGTATGATAGCATCATTTAAAAACAAAATGGATATTATCTAGATTATAGTTAATGCATTCTTTTTTATATAATATTTTTTCAATTGATAGTTAAAACAAAAGATATAGGAATTGATTAAGAAAAGATGGATTTAAAAGAATTCTGAATCAGTATGTGAACTTGGGCTTCTTATTTAATCCTCTCAGTTTAGGGATATTTAAACTTTTGTAGAAAAAAATTGTATTTTATTCTTTTCCATATTCTATTTCTAAGACGAGTAGGCTACAAAACTTCTATCTACAAAATCCCTACAAAACCCCATCGTCCATCCCTTCTCTTCGAATAATGGTCCAGAATAATTTCCAGCAACAAAAAAAAGGGGGTGGATTGATAATTCCGCTAACCCTAAAAACCCAGGGTTAGCGGAATTATCAATCCACCCCCTTTTTTTTGTGACAACCGTGACATGAATTCAGAAGAGAGCGAAGGTACTTTTCCTAATCCTTACTTTTCTTAATCATATCTAGGGCTACAAACGAGCCGAGTTGAGTCGAGTTGCTTGAGCTCGGCTCGTTTATTAATTTTTCAGCTCGAGCTCGGCTCGAATTCGAATTATGATAATCCAGCTCGAGCTCGAGCTCGGCTTGAATAAAAATAATCTAGCTCAAGCTCGACTCGGTAGAGCTCGATAAATGCTCAATAACATAGCTTGTCAAGCTGAGTACAAGCTCGACTCAAGATGAGCTCGATTTAAAATCATTTGTGCTGGAAAAATGTATAAACATAAGAATTTAAATGATAGAAAGAACACTTGAAACTATAAATAACATCTAAATTTCATACACATCTGTATTAGAAGACAATGTTCATGTTTAAAAGAGTAATTCATCCTTCCACAAGCTCAAAACAAGGCAGCTCGCGAGCTTAGCTCGACAAGCCACCGAATCAAGCTAGCTCGCGAGCTTATCAAGCTGAGCATGGTCTAGCTCAGGCTTGGCTCGTTAACTAACGAGTTGGCTCGCGAGCCGGCTTGTTAAATAACGAGTCGAGTGTCGAACGAGTTTTTTCCGATTCGAACGCCGAGTTGCTCGCGAGCGGCTTGGCTCATTTGCAGCCCTGATCATATCCTACAAAAATCCTTTTAACTCCGAATTTTTATTTACTTTTTTGCATAGAAATAATGCATTAATTATGATCTATACATTGATGGCCATTTTACTATATTTTGAGCAAAGAAAAATGAACTCTTCAAATACGTACCAGTTGTAGTATTATCACTATCATATGAATATATCATGATAGTGATATGAACTTATATGATCTGATATGATATTGATATAATGATATTGAACTGATACAATATTGATATGAATGACATGTTGATATGAATGACATAGATAGAATTGATACGATCTTAATATGAATGACATGAATATGAACTCATTTGATATGACATGACCTAAATCTATTTTGCTAAAATATCAAAATGGATATAATCTTGTAGATCATAAAAACTCTTATTTTTCTACGCAGATTTTTTGAAATTCGACATAAAATGAATATGTTATGGTATGTTGATTTTCGTAGTAAATTTGAAAAGTGTATAGAAATTTGCGCAACTTCATCAAAAAATTTAGACAACATGCAACAAATTTGGGCTGACCACATTTTTTCCCTTCATAACCTTCTATAAATGTTGAGTGAAGGCAATTCGGCTAACTTGGCGGGTTGTCCTTAGTTGTCACAAGTTGATTAATTGTTTGGTAAAGTTGTAATTTAACTAGTTTAGGCTAACCCTAGTTGTTTCTGTTGTTAAGGGTTATGGCTCCTATATATGTGCCAAGATTGGCACTGGTGCCGTGTGTGTTTCCAGAGAGCAAGAAGCTCACAATAAGAGTTTTAGTCGAGAGCTCTTGTAGAGCTCTCCGTGGAGTAGTCTCGTTCACATCGAACGGGGAAACCACGTTAAATTGGTTATGTCGTTTCTTCCGCACTTTGGTTATTTTACATGGTATCAGAGCTGCTAAGATCGTAGCTTTCGTTAATCCAATATGAGTGACGACGAGAAGAAGGGTTTCGGCAGTTCTGGTGATGGCGGTTTTAAGCCGGAAATCGACCCTACCTCGCCGTATTTCATCAGTCAGTCTGATAACCCTAATCAGATATATGTGGGTGAGCTGTTGAATGAAGGAAATTATTCTGATTGGGTACATGACATGACGAACTCGTTGTTAGCTAAACATAAGCTAGGGTTTGTTGACGCTTCGTTCCCGGCACCCACAGACGCTGCCTCGTTGAGAAGTTGGCGCCGTGCCGATGCCATGGTTAAAGGGTGGTTGACTTCGGCCATGGACAAGCAAGTTCGTCGAGGAGCTCGGTATGCCCAAACAGCAGAGAGGTTTGGGTAGATTTGAAGGAGCGCTCGCTCAAAGTAGCGCACCGCTGGTCTATGAGATACGTCGTCGCATCGGTCATCTTCCTCAAGAGAAGCTGCCAGTTCCTTCGTTTTATACACTACTACGGAATCTTTGGGAGGAGGTCCAGTCCATGTCGCCTCTCCATCTTTGTACGTGTGGTAAGTGTACCTGTGGTGCTAATAGAAAGAATCAAGAACGTGAGGAAACTTTTCGTCTTTTTGACTTCTTGATGGGCTTGGATGAGTTTTTTTCAACTGTCAAGACACAAGTCCTCTCCATGAAGACTATTCCGACCCTGTCTGAAGCTTATCAGCTCGTTTCTAACGATGCGCCTCAACATCGGCTGGCTGCAACTAATCGCCCTAGTCCTGATGCTGCAGTCTTCTTTACG